GAAAAACAGTGCACTTGTAAAAACTTGTCTAGTCTTTATTAAAGAACAAAAGTGTTTCAGTTCAGAACAACTAATAAAGTGCACTTACAGTAACTCTACACTGCCTGCAATAAGTCATTTTCTCAATTTCAAGTTAACCTGTTGAACTTGGACTACAATTTAAGCTCAATTTATTGTAACAATGTTTTAACTGCTTATTTGGTGTACTTTGACATCCAGTGTAACACTTGGTATTATAAACACTAACAATTGCTATGGCAACCAGAGTATCTTACTGAAACAATGCCACATCACTTACTCTGTTTCGGTCATCTCCTTGAAACAAGACAGAACAGCAGAGAGACCCTTAACTGGGTGTACTTTGGAATTATATCCTTCTGCTCTGCATTTCAGACAGTGATCTGCATTTAACAGCCACTCCTCAACACATTTTTGGCATCCAACCAGGGATTCGCAGCATGTAGAATACATGGTGTCTGCCATTAGACCTGCAAGATTTTACATTTTAAAAAAGTGATGCAGGAAATGACATTTAATATAACTGCAGAAAAATGTAATTCTGAGTTTTATACTGTACAAACCTTTACAAATGAGACAACACCAATCAACCTAAGCTGCATGTCTTTGGTCAGTGGGAGGAAGCCGGAGTACCCGGAGAGAACCTGTTATGGTTATATTTTTATTCTTTTTATTCAGTGTTGTATTACCTTGCTTTAGCTCGTCTTCCATTCTGGAACTCCACAAATTCATCCTCAGAAATGGCATAGACTTTTCTGGAGTTCTGTTTCCAGTAATGGGAACCTTAGGATTCAGAAAACATTTATGTATTCTCATTTCAGCATTCTCATCCCACAGCATCATAAACCATCACTATCAAAACGTTGGTATATTACATATATAAAAAACAAGTGGTAGAATAACTAAATGGTTAGGTTTTGGGGAAAACTACATGGTTGGCATTAGGAGAAGAAAAAAAAAACCCATGTGACCAAGAACAAACATGTGGTCAGGTCCCGAGGCCTCAAATATTGAAACCAGTGCATTAACATTACAATGAACAGGAAACCCTCTGTGTCAAATATGGATTCCAATTGGTCCCTTCAATTACAGGTACTGACAAAACATCGGTTTTTGACACACTGGGAATGAGAATGGACTCTCAGTTCCGTATTAAAAATAGCACTTACATATCCAGAAAATGCATCTCACATGATTGTGCTAAAACAACTTACTTCTTGTCCCCTCTGAGTCCAGTATCTCATTTCCTTGGCTGTCCGTCAAGGTAACCCGTTCGTTACTGTTTAAGGCCTCTTTTACCTTTGTAGTTATCCCATCAACGGTGGCATCTGCTTCCAAAAAACGAATGACCACTGTTCTGGAAGTAGTGATCTTGTCATTCACCACTTCAGCGATATGGACTGTCCTGGAAATAAATCAGACTGTTAATGCCGAGAGCTTAACTTTTTGTCAGAATTTTATATAAAGTTATTTTAGCAGCAGAGCAGTTTCACATTTTTACAAGATACCTTTGGAAGGATCTTGCTGGGAATGAGCTGCTAGCTCGTGGCGGGCCAGACGTTTGTGGTGTTTCGGTGGAAGAAGGTGCAGACCGTCGCATGAAGGCGAACGGGACAGCGGCAGTGGGTACAGCTTAATGTCCTCAGTGAGATGACATTAATCTGGTTCTCCATGAACTTCGTAATGATCACGGTTTAAAAGGTGCATAGTAGAAAATTGTCCACTTGGCTCTGGAAATTTTGTCGTGTTTGCGTCATCTGTAATATACTGTACATGCTATTGGCGTTTACCTGTTCAAATGGTAAGAAACAACAAAAAAGTACAAAACACTTCATCAAATAAACCTGCAAATTAATAATGAATATAAATAAATACAACTGTAAATTACCTGAAAAATCTTGCATATCTTATCCACAGACATGTCACTCTCCTTCAGCGTAACACGCTTACCTCCTCGAAAAACTACAAAACTTTACATCCCAAACCCCGCTGTCATCCACAGCACGGCACGCTGCGCTCAAAGTTTCAACTTCCGGGTCACAACAAAATCTCAACCGCAAAAATAAAACTCAAGTTTCCACAAGCATATTTTAACTTGGGATTTTCATTTAGAAACATATAAACGGAAATCAAATACCACATATTCGGTTTGTTTTCCGTGACATATTATCAAAAGGAAAAACGGCTCGTTTTTTATTTTCGTTTTCCCGTTTCTAAATGGAGATCGAGAAAACGTTCGTTTTCCGATTTTGGTTTTCTCAATTCCAAACGAAAATCCAATGACCGCAAAGTACACGGACCCAGGAAGATGTCTCACTGATCACCGGTAGACGTTTTTCCTCTATATAATCTGGGATGTGCACGCAGCATCGAGAAAGGAAACTTTTCATTCCCGTAACATACTGTGTATATAGATATCTCATCGTGGTCAAATGAGCAGTCAATAGCACAAGCCGATAAAGCCAGTACTCGTTCGGTTTTAGTTGTGCTTCTTTTCATGCATTTACGGTACGGATACTGGGGGCATTTTACATATGAGACGAAGCCGCTATACGTATTTTCGGTATTGCAATGAACTCCGGATTGCTTTGAAATTATCCCAAGATGTTACTTGCTTTTAGATTAATTCACCCACTGCAAATAGTGGTGGGAAACTAATTATAAATAATTTAACAAAAAATGTAGGTTTGCATATGCCAGTGAAATTATACGGATAAAATGCTTGACTATTAAGAGTATCAAAATCGAAAACACTACAGTACATTTTAACCAAAAACTTAGATAGGTTTACAATTTCCTCATGTTTAGACTTCGTTTACTTTATAGGTTTGCTGAAACTTTCTCAATAGATTCCTGAGATTCTGAGTAACCCTCACAATGTCCATACAAAATCTGAAATACTTCTACTGTAGTGTTTTTGAAAATTAAAGGGAAAGTTAACACAGTACGTCCTGTAACTGAGTTTCTCCATATTTGAACTCGCAAAAAAAGTTTATATTTGTTCAAACATTTGCATTCTTGTTCACACCGACCATGACTATTATAATAGAAAATCTTAAAAATGAATACAATCTGTCCCATATAATTTCTAATTATATGGGACAGATTTTTTAAAAATGAAAGGGAATGTCACCACAAAATTTACAGTAATAACTGGCTCGTTTGAACTCAAAAACTTCAGATTTTGTATGGACACACAGAAGGTCATTGAAGAAGGAATTTAATCCAAGTTACAGCAAACCTCTTAAGACACTTTTTTTAAATAAATTGCTGCAGAATATTTTGTGATGAGTTTGAATAATTACCATCTTATGCTGCATCTTAATGGGAACTTGGGAAGACAATTCCATGTAAAGATGCTTTATTTAGCCATTAAATGAACACAGTGTAAGAAAATAAATATCCACAACAAAATGAACCAATATTCAGCACTGTAATAACACGCAGAGTCAAGTGCATCCTCTTCATAAGGAGAATTTTAATGTACAAAATAGAAAAAAAGACACCGAAATTCAGACATTTACTTTCGGAAAAGGAAGGAAAAAAAAAAAAGAAAAGAAAAGACCTGTACAAACAGTGGGGTGGTGAAAATCACGAACCAATATGACTAGTATGACCTGGTGATCATCTCCGTGGGCCACCCCGGCCTCGTCCCCTTCCCCTGCCTCGTCCCCGTCCTCTGCCTCGTCCCCGTCCAGCCACTGAGTAGAGAGTCACAATGTTTATCAGAAACATTCACCAGCATATTAGTAACAAAATATAAATGTGTAGGCAAAAGAAATTAAACTGCCCCTACATTCTCAGTTTGCACAAGCATAATTGCACATTGACTGCTGCACATGCTGCTCCCATGTAGCATACATTCTCTTGTATTATATTTTTACTATATCTCTGCATTTGCTGCTTAAAGTGCCTTAGATTTTGTGTTACTTATTCATCTACTTTATATTTCATTTGTATTGTGTAGCATTCATGTGGACGGTAAAGTAAGAATTTCATTGTACGGGGAAACACGTGTCCTAACTGTGCATATGACAAATAAACACTTTGACCCTTGACCCAAAAGCTTAGAAAACCTCAGCTGAACAGGAGGGAACAGTTCTTTACATATAATGAGGCAAAGCCAGATTCCCCTGCTGGGCATGAAGGTGGCAAAACAATTTGCACAAACCGAGAACTCAACACAAACTGCATAGTTAAGAGGTTCTAATTCTTGATTAAGCAACGTAACACCACACTGGTGACAGCAATCTATACGGAACACACTTCACCACCCACAACATACATGCACTCCAACACTTAAAACTACTAAACAAACATCACTGAATTTAAGGGGTTATGCATTATAAAAATATAAATGGTCCTTGGAAATTGTATTTTTTTTATATAGCCAGACAGCCATTGAGGGGGTCCACAGGGAGTGCCGTCTCCGATGTGCTCACAGCATTCTTAAGGACTCCTCTCACTCTGCTCACAAACCGTATGACCTCCTGCCCTCTAGGAGGCGCTTCAGGAGCCTCCGGACCAAAGCCAGTAGACTCAGGAACAGCTTCTTCCCCACAACTGTCTTCTTACTGAACTCTTGTCCCCCGTTGACACCCCCCCCTTCCTCTATACCACTACACACATCTCACCCCTTCTCATCTCGGGACTAATGCAATACACTTCTGTTATCTGTAAAACTGAAGTGATCTGTTAATTTGCACATACTCTACTCACAGGATACTGCTCTGTATTCATTTGCACACTGTTCATATGTAGATACTGTATATTTATCATTCTCTTTGTACTAAACTGAAAAAACTTAAGACAAACACCAACTACTTGCACTACTTACATCCATCAAACTGTTCACTCATGTAACTTATCTTGTTATTCTGCACTGTTTCATTCCATCTCATCCCATTGCATTAGTGTTCCATAAGCTTAATGTACCTGTCCATTACTGTAATTTGAATCCATAGTCTGTTGTATATTGTACATTACCCTACATATCTTACTGTTAATATCAATTGTACATATCCATCAATGAATTAGTTCTGACTGTTCATACTGTAGATACTGCACTCTTTGCTGCTGTTGGTTATGGTTAGATGCTAAACTGCATTTCATTGCTTGCACATGGGTAATGACAAAGCTGAATTTAATCCATCTATATCTACATCTACCTATGCATATATAAAACAGTTCAACTCGTCTGTCTGAACATTTTTCCTGTATTCCCCACACAGAATTTCTCATTGCAGCTTACTGTTGAAATCCGTCTCCACCTGAAGCTTCTTTATAAAGATTGGATACGTTTGAAGAGGTCACACTTTACATCAACCTCAAGTCTGACACCATACACTTATGTCAAGCCCACGCTGCAGCTTTAGTGAGATGGCTCAGACATCACAGAAAGATTACCTTACAAGAAAATGTCCAAAAAACATTTCTGTATGCCTGTTTGAAGTCAGGAATGAATAACTACCAAAATGTTATTCTCAACAATACAACACTTCTCAGGCCTAGGGTGTTCTGACCATCGTGGTTTGTCAGTTGAAAGCCTTGATATTTTAACTTCAAACTCACCTGCTTCCCTCTTCTTGGACTTGATCTTTGGCTCTATGTCAACCAGTAAGGTGTCCAGTGGGAGACTGTCAGGCAGGATAAAGTAGCGAATATTGTTGCCACGGATACTCAGTGACTCCAGCTGAGTCGGCTCCCTGTTTTTCAGGGTCATTTTCACCGCCTTCAGGTGGGTGTTCATACTTACATCAACACCTGAATAAGAAAAAAAAAAGGCAGAATGTGGGATGAAAATCTTGAAAATAAACAGACAAGGGAAGAGAAGTGCAGGAGTCCAGAGTGTGATACACAAAGAGCGTTTCCATAATAAACTAGCAAAGTCTAGCCTGCTACCAGCCCATAAGCTAGCATTTTCAGATCAGAAAATCTGGGCATTCCACAAGCTCTCCACTGTGTTCTCAAGTAGACACGTAATCCTGAACTTCTGGAAAGTGGTAATGAAAGCCTGGCTGGGGGCCGAGTTGCCCAGTTAAGGCAGCAATGATCCACACTTAAATTAGTTTTATTCTCATCCAGCTGTCCGAAAACAAACAGTAAAATGTGCAAATCAGAGAGCCTCAGCGTCACTTGTACCAAAACACACCAAGTGATCAATAGAAAGGACAGAGACAGTTTTAATCAGTAGAGACCTGCAGAGTAATGGGACTAGGTCTTTCTCAGCCCTTCCCAAATATTAGTCTTGATGCATAGTTTAAATGTTCAAGTGCTTCAGTGTGGATAAAGGGTTTTATCCAACACACCAGAAAATAGAGCCACATAGTTATCACAATCAGCCAGCAATCAGCATGCAGTGTGAACAAAATTACCATCTGTTATACACAATACCATATGTTTAGCACAATACACAACCCCAAATCAGAAAAAGTTTGTAAAATCAAAATTAAAACTGAAAATAGTGATGTGTAAATCATGTGTCCTGTATTACATTGAAAACAATACAGCAGCACATTATTTGATCTGATATCTCATTAATATTATTCTTTGTTCAAAATAAACACTTAACTTCCAATGCCTGCAACACATTCTAAAAAAAGAGGGGACGGTTGTATTTCAGGGCTGGTAATGAGGTAAAACAATGAAAATATGATTCCATTTGAAACTGGTGACTGCAATCATAATTTGGTGCAAAAGTGGCATCCAAACAAAAATGGGCAGAGGACCGCCAGTTTGCCAACATGTGTGTGAGAAAGATATTGAAAGACATAGATAAGATATTTTTTCAATTTTGTTTTAAAATTTACATAACATCCCAAATTGTTCTGATTTGGGGGTGTAATTGAAAAGCACCACAACCCACAGCCTTAAAAAAAAAATCACCTCACTGAACCGTTTCAGCATCAACTGAATATTATAGCTTCATGAAGTTAGTCGAGTTATAGCAGGACTGTTGTATTAGTGCATGAGCGTTCATTTAACCGAAAACTTGGCTATATTTATGTGGATGTAATTTGTTACTAAAATATTGAGACACGACATATACAACGCTAACACCTGACTCCAGTTTACTTGTGCAAAAATACTTGTAGTCTTTTTTTTATTTATTTATTATAAAGCACCAACTGGTTCTTACCTGTGATGGTGCCATGTACCTGGGTGCCATTCTTCAGTTCAATAGTAACCGTCTCGTGGCTGAGCTTCATCAAAAACCTGTGGGTTAGCATTGAACATTAGTGTGAAAAGTCGATCTTTAGGCTCAACCTTAAAAATTCCCTCACGACCAATTACCAAGCAAACAAGAGATTAGTCTGACGTTAGTTAGCCACTAGCTGCGTAGCCTTCGACACCACAACAAAGCCCATCAGTGCAAACCCAATTAAATTAATTACTAAAATAATAAATGCAAGAGCAATTCTCTAGCTACAACTTGGTTAACTGAACTTAGGGAACAGGTAAACGGGGACAAGGCCGCGGAGCCATTCAACACCCGTTTATTACAAGGAGGTAGTTAGCAAACACCGCGGCTTTAATACTGTAATACTCTCCGTTCCTGCACAAGCAGCCAGACGTTTCAGAACCATTACAATACTTTAGCGGTTTTACAGTTAAACCCAGGAGTCAACGATTACTACGCACACCACATGTCGGTATGTTTCAGTTGGGCTATTTCAGACTCCAGAGCCCGTTCACTGCTACACTGGACACCCTCTATTCATTTCTTTCACCGCTTCCCGCCACATCAATATCTAACGCCATCCAGCGGTATCGCATTGTTTTCATGGCATTGATCCACAGCACTTACTAAACTGTAACTTTTCCAATCCACCTACCTGACTAGTTTCATGATGGTGACGGACTATACGATCAAATCCTCCACCAAAGACAAAAATTACAGCACTCAAGTGTAGTCACAGGCCGCTGTTGTACGATATACGTTTTAGTCGCGCTGAAGCGACGTCATCAACGAGCGACAGCACAGAAGAGAACAACATTGCCGCCTACAGGTGGAGTAATGACCACATTTTTCAGATACAGAGAAGAACTGGTGAATGAGGAAAATGAGAGGGAAAGAAGGGGGGAAGAGGTGAGTACTTTAGAGCAGGAAGTAGCAAAGATTAGAAAGGATGAGGTGAAGAAGGCTTTGAGGAGAATGAAGAGTGGAAAGGGTGTTGGTCCAGATGACATACCCAGTGATGGCCGATGAGGTTTTGTTGAAGCTTCGACACAGTGTTCACACAAATGGTACATTACTCGAGGCTTCAATGACACCGTGCTCGAGTAGGACATACAGTGGTCAAGAAATTGAAGTGTAGTCAACACGTGTTGCTTATTGGTTCATGGATTAGGATTTGATTCGCCATGCATATTCCTGTTCAAATACACTACATGGTTGTATGTTTCAATGACACAATAAAATATAAAATAAACATGGGCACATGTTGAAGACCATGTTTCTTATGTGGCATGTCTGACTGTAATCCTATATACGCCTTACTTATATTTTGTGTTATGAAAACATTTAAATGAGATGTGGTCTCATCAAATTCAGACATGTCATTTTCACATGGGACTGGTGCAAATACAGATTATAGTATGGACTTCGGCAAAGTTTGTTTTGGGGTTCATTGGTAAAGAGGTTCATGGGTATGTGGGTAAAGAGGGTGTGCTTGAAGAACAGGGCAGTGGGTGTGCTTGTGTAACTGTTTATGAGTGTTTATTGGGAAATAACAGTATATCCACAGTTTTCAGACACAAGCGGTTTCTCCTTTTACAGACTATTTCCCCAGCCTTGGAAAAAAACCCGTTCACATGGCACAGATGAGGCTGGGGTACACAGGAAATGCTTGGATAATTCATAGAGGTTTGGGTAACTATATATGCAATATATCTATATCTACATATGTAATATATCTTATCTATATGTTGTTTTGTTTTACATTGTTAGCTATCAAGCTCCTCTCCTATGGAACCAACTCCCAGTCTCAGTTCAGGAGGCGGACACCCTCTCTACCTTTAAGATTAGATTTAAGACTTTCCTTTTGGATAAAGCTTATAGTTACGGCTGGATTACGTGACCCTGAGCCTTCCCTTAGTTATGCTGCTATAGACCTAGGCTGCTGGGGGGCCCCATGATGCTCTGAGTTTCTCCCCTCCCCTCCCCTCCCCTCCCCTTTCTTCTTTTGTCTCTCCTCTATCCACTCACCCCAACCGGTCGAGGCAGAAGGCCGCCCACCAACAGCCGGGGTCTGTCGGAGGTTTCTTCTGTTAAAGGGACTATTAGGTATTTTTAGTCAGATAGAAATTGGATAGATACTTTATGTATTAGAAATGTTTAGTGGAGATAGGATGTCTAGTTAGACTGTTAAATGCTTAGGCATGCTTATGAGTTTCTACAGGGTACATCTGGTCAAGGATA